GAGGTTACAGGCTAAAAGACAGACAAAGATCATTATTTCTTAATAATCTTCAGCTTGGATTTGTCTATGAACTTTAAACTTAAGAGTTTCTAATTCAGTTTGAATCCTTTCCTGTTATATGATAATTGGAGAGGGGTGCAGGCGACATAATTCATATTGTAAGTGTTTTTTTTTTTTTTTTTCAAAATCATTTTGATTCTGTAGACTTGAATTACAATTGTATTAATTTTCTCTCTTTGATAAAATTTAGATGAATAAGCTCCGAATCCAACTTTATTTTTGAGGCATTTAAGTATAAACTTTTATATATTTTAAAATTGAACAATTTTTTAGTCAAATTAAAGAAAACAAGACAAGCTTATTTTTAATCAAATTTAAATTGAACAAAGCTTGAACAGTATTGAGCTAATTTGAAGTTGTATCAGCAATATATAGAGATATCTAACCCCAATAGCTTTGTTGGAAATGGCTCTATTGCATTGCACTTTCTAAAATGGCTCGTTATTAGGTCATGAGATTATTGGTTCAATCAATTTAATCAAACTAATAATCCAATCCACCAAATCTGCCATTAGAACTTGATATCATAACAATATCATGCAGTTGAAAATTAATGATCATAACAATATCATACATTTTATTCTTAATCATATAGGCTTTATTTGAAACATCTTTTATTGCTTTCTAAAATAAATTTTTAATACAAAAATTTTCAAAATTTTTTTATACTAACTAATTTTAAAAATTGGAAAAAAAAGTTATCCCATATAAACTCATAGGTAACCATTATAACATTCTCCATAATATCTGCAATTGTTTGTAGAGATAATTCAATCACCAAAATCAAGCAACACTAATTCACAGGCTATAACTAATTTTGACCAGGTTAATAAGCATTATTTTTTTTAATGATTAGTATAAAAATTAAAATTATGGTGATTGAATTATCTCTAAAAGCATCATAAGAACATTTTTTTGCAGAACAAATAGTGTGGTACCAAAATAAAATGTCATTAAAACCCAAATGTTTCCAATTCACCTGCAACAAACATACTTTTTTGTGAATTGGCAAATCTCATAGACATGAATTATTTGTTTCCTCTGTTATAGAAGAATAGATTATTTGGAAAGCCATAACAGTTTGGAGAATATGATCGACTCACCATTAAGAAAAACAGTTTTCTTGTCACTTAACTATTATAATACTCGAGCCTTTAATATTTAGCCATTATAAAAGATCCAGATCACCAAAAGTGGGCGCAATGTCAACAGGCACCTGGAAAAAGAAAAGATCAGAAAAACTGATTTTGTGCAGGGAAATGATACCAACACTGATAAAATATTGTCAGAAAATACTAAGTTTATCTAAGCAAATTTGATGAACTTTTGACTGATAATTTCCCCATAACTTGATTATATATATAAAATATGGGACAGTTTGGGGATTCGAGTGAGATGGGAGGAATTTTTTTCGTCGACCACTCAACCGAAGACCCGATCTCAACTTCATTGTGTATTAACTCGAGAAAAACAAGTTAGGGCCGGCCCATTGAAAGTTTCTTATAAGCTGCACTCACATTTGGATGTCCATGCTTCGAGGAATGATTGATTCTAAGCCAAATACCCTAGGCAAATTTGATGGAAGTGCCAAGAACCAGTTGAAATCTACTTCAGGCTAGCCGAGACATTGTAGGTTGCAGATAGTTTCTACTTCAAAACAGACGAATTTTCAAGGCAATCCAGCATGTGGTTGGGCACTTCACAACACATTCAAAGATGCGCGTGGAAATGCTGAAAATTGGAATACAAATGTACAGTGGAACAATTTATTTAACACTATTAAATTCTATGCTGGTAATTTTTTTAACTTGAAACATGCTGAATAAGCGCTTGGATTTTTTGCGAAGACAAATTGAGCTTCTTTGGCCAGATTGAAACTAATTTGCTGTACTCCGAAAATCTGCAATAACTTATATCTCTCTCTCCTTTACCCCCCCTCCTGATTTCTATACTATTTGAGTTCTATGGCTAGACAAAAACTAGCTCACACAAACTCAAACCAAAACAATTTTTTTCCTTGAGTTATATTAAAAATCGAAGAATTACAAGCCAAGCTTGACTTAAGTACTCTCAAACTAGAGTCGTACATCCAAATATCACAAGGACTCGATTCAAGAAAAAACTGCGCTACTCAAGACAACTTAGTTTGAGTCGTAACAATGATAGATATATGGTGAACATGCAGGTCCATCCTAAACTCGCTAGGATCATCATTAACTTGTCGGTAACATGATGAAGTATACATAATACACTGATTTTGAGGGTTATCCATGCATAATCGCCCAAGCTAAGAAGCAAGCCATCAAAATTTACTTAAACAAGCCATTAAAAGAGAAGCATAAAATTAAGTGTTGTAGAGATGAGGATGATCATAGAGACAGAATACGAAACGGGTACATACGTGAAAAGGTTGTAGTAGTTCCAGTGGCAAGGAAAATTAGAGAGAGTCTCCTTAGATGGTTTGGTCACACAAAATGCTAGCCTTCTGAAGAACCGATCAGGAGAATAGATGTATTAGATTTGACCTATGTTAAGAAAGATATATGTAGTCCTAAAAAAACTTGGTTAGAAAGTATTAGAAATTGTATTTTCTTATTAGATCTAAATGAGGATGTGACCCTTAATAGAACACAATGGATAAAAAAAATTCATATAGCTGATCCCACTTAGTTGGAAAAAGACTTAATGTTATTGTTGAATGACAATTTAATTCTCATGTACTTAATTATACACTTTCTAGTGTTAAATAAAAATTATATGAATATTCTTTCTGTATTCTCTATTTTTTTCCCATTAATTATCTAACACAAAAATAGCATCCTCAAGGAAAAAACATCTATCAACACCAACAAAAAAAACTCATACCATATTCTATTCGTAATGAGTTCTTATTATTTTTTGCATCAATAATAAAAGGAATTCTTTATTTGATTAATAAATAATAAAAGGAATTCTTTATCAGAGGATAGCTCCATCTTATAAACAAAATTTTGGGATAGATGATAAAATTGATTGTCTCCTCAAGATTTGATCATGATTCACCTTCGTCTCAACTTGGTAGCCTAGAATTATCATACTTCAATGGAATAATGAAAGCTAAGGCGATTGACAATTGGTTCAAAATTCTATAAGTATTTGCTCATTCAAAGTTGTCCTCATGTAAAGGCCGGTTTGGCCGGTTTTTTGAATAGGCCAGCCTTAATTAGAAACGCTTGCACGAGCAGGTCTTCCGCGAGCAGAACCGAACAGGGCTCGACCGAGTAGTCTCTGCATGCTCGTATACACCTCCTAGACGGATTGATTCACTGCTTTCAGTAGATAAGCGAGTGAGGGAGTGAAAAAGAACGACTCCTCATGCGAGAAATCTATGTTTCACTCATTTCTGTAGAAGAGAATCACGAGAGAAGCTCTATGCCAAGAGGAAGAAGGAAGAGGTAGGTTTTCTAATTTTACTCATTTACTGCCCATTTCTTCTATTATTTAAACCTATGAAAGCATTAATTATCTTAAAGAAAGACAGAAGAAGGAATTGAGAAAAAAAGAAATTCGGGAGAGAAAGAAGAATGATTTTGTATTGGAAAAATTCTCCTTTGTAAGTGATTTTAATCATATTTTTTATGTTCAAATTTTTTAAGAATAGAATTTATAAAATTTCTTTTTATGACAATTAATACTGTATGATTTTAGAAAAGTAAAAAATCAAAATTTGGTGGAAGTTCGATTCGGCAAGAAGGAAATATTCCTTGAGGTAAAAGATGTAAGTTAGAAACTTGACATTTATTATTATTTCTTTAAGCTTTGAGAATCCCTTCAAAATTATTTAGTAATGTTAATGCCAATTAATGTAAATTGGAACAATAAAAGGATTTGATTAATCTAGTGTGTGAATGTGAAGTGCTGCAGCCAATAAAAGATTTCTCAGGGGATTTGAGGTAAGAATTCATTAAAGAAATATTTATGTAAAATTAATGAAAGTTAAATATAGTAATAATTTATGTGATTGTATGTGAATTTAGGTTGTGATAAGGAAGATTATTTCAAGGGTCAAAGATTTGAAAGGAATTAAAGCCCGAAGAATAAAACCGAGTAAATATAGCATAATTATTTTATGTCAATTTCAAATTATTTTCTTTATGTAATTACAATTCCTTGTAATTATTACAATTACTGCATGTTATACGAATTAATAGAAACAAAAGAGAAAATTTAAATGTAAGTAATAATTATACGGAATTATCATTATATGGATGATATGTTTAAATATTAAATATGCAACAACATTGCAAATTATTATATGACTAAGGTTATGTCATAATGTATATACGAGTAATGATTTACATAAAAATAAAAGCAATAAAAGAGGAAAAAGATACATGCATGCCAATTTATAGTAGTTCATCCCCGTATGGTACTGACTAGGGAAATAACATACCCTTACATGTTAAATGGAAAAGGTTATGCAAAAAAAAAAAAAAAAAAAGAAAAAAAAAAAAAAAAAAAAAAGGTTGTATCTTTATTGGTACATTTAGACGGTAATCCTATACTAAATAAAAAAGGAAAGGGATAAATAAAAATGAAAGATGAATGAACATTAAATGAAAAAAAGAATATGTTATTAAGTATATGAAAGATTTTATCAGTAGTTTGATGGAAAATGTATTAGTGGCTCTTCAGTTTTTCTTTGGGAAGTATATGATAAATTGTTTTTGAATTTAAAGAAACATTATAAATGTCCGATTGTTCATTCCCGCCTCCTTAATTCGAGCATCCGGGTCGAGTCGTGACACCTCACAAGCTTTAGCGTGATAGAGTTCATAATCTAAAAACTGATATGCCATCCTTGATTATGTTCAGAGTTTTAAATATTCTTAAAAGCTTAATTTACCCTATTGCACACAAATAAAGCAAGTTATTTGATGGAAAATTTTGAAGCTATATAAAGGATAATAGGATATGCAGCAAAAGAACACAATTGAATTTAGAAAGCAAACAATTACTCGACAAGTTTCATTGAATGAAAAATCTTTATCTACATGTATGAAATATGTAGAGGGACTTCAAAAAAACATCCGCACAGAATTAAAGCTTTTTCCCATTGTTAATGACTTTGAAGCTAGTAGCAAAGCTATTCGATTTAAGTAAGGAAATTCCTGTCAATTGGAAAAAAAAGCACAACATACTACTGCAATAAAGAAGACTGAAGGTCAAACTATAGAGAAGTAAGACGCCATATCACTATGTCGTTGTTGCAAAAGTTAGAACATAAGCCTAAAGATTGATAAAATTTATATCAAGACAAGATATCAAAATGGGAGAACAAGAAAAAGAAGACCTTACAACTACTTTAGAAGAAGTTATTGAAGTGGGAGATGAAAAAGGAAAATTTTGCACTAGCTTTGATGTTGCATGCACATGCAAGTGGGGAAACTATAGGCATTCAGTTTTACATCAAGCTTCAAGTAAAAGCTACCCTTGTCTATGCTACTACACGTTGGATCTACATAGTAAAAATATCCTCATGTTTAGAGCACAGCTAGAGAAACTTGGGCTAACCACTACTAAGCATCCAAAACCTTATTCTTCAAGTTGGTTTTTGAAAAACTAATATTTCTAAGGTTTGTAAAGTTGTACCACTATTAATGTATTCTTAAGTTTGATTTTTTTAGAGATTTCATCGATGAGACAATCTATGAAGTTGTACCACTATATATATATATATATATAAACACACACACATATTATGTAATGAAAGAAAAGGTCAAAATGATCCCTGAACTATTTGTATGGGATTAATTTCAATCCTAGACTATAAATATATTCAATTTAGTCCCTTGACTCTTTAATTCAAATTCAAAATAGTCCCTATGTTGGATTCTTTTGTGTTATATTTAAGGAGTCATTAAACTATCTTGAATCATATTTAAAGAGTCAAGGATCAATTTAGTCCCTCGACTCTTTAATTCGAATTCAAAATAGTCCCTATGTCGGATTCTTGTGTTATATTTAAGGAGTCAATAAACTATCTTAAACCATATTTAAAGAGTCGACGAACTAAATTGGACATATTAGATTGTCTATGACAAAAAAGGCAATGATAAACCCAGGGACCATTTTGATCTTTTACTAGTTATATAATATTAAGTAGGTCATCAGATAGGGATACTATCTTCTTTAGTTGACAATAAAAACTTTTTGCATGTAAAGGGAAAAAATACAGATTTCACGTTCACAATCCTATCAAGATAAGCTGTACTTATCTGGGATGCCATTGATAAAAAAACTAATATCCAATTGCATCTCAGCGAAGAGCTCTAACCTGCACTCTTTCCAGCTTTTCCAATGCAGAAGACAATGGTTGTGTCATTTTTGCATATCCTTGTAGAAGAGATTTCGCACTAGCCTTATCACCTCTGGCTTGAATTGTTAAGATTTCCCTGCTGAGGTCCTCAACAGCTGCTTCAACCTTCAAGAAGATAGCATTTGGAAAAACCGAATAATCAGTTTTCATTCACATTAGATTAGGCGTGTAAAGCAATCAAGAAAATAAAGAAAAACACCTTTTCAAAATCCACTGAGAAAGTACCATCTGAGTGCAAAATAAATGCTTCTTTGTCATATAACCAGTTAAATTGCAATGCCTGTCCTTTTCTGTATTCATTCAATGAATGACAACTTTAGTAACGTTAACTACTCATAGTGTGAGAATTTTGAACTGGACAGAATAGTTAAACATGCTTACCCATGAGCTTCTTCTAATCCAAAGCGTACAGATCGAAAGCATCCCGCAAGGAAAGAAACATACATAGATCTCAATAGGTATCTTGGGAGCAATTTCTGAATAATTTAAATGGTTAACTAACATATTATATAAAACAACCTCCTAATTTGCATAATGCGGTCACATGTACAAACTGAAATGAGAATTTAACACGAAATAAGCGACAAATAGCATTAGAAAAAGTTACAAGGAAGCTACTGACCTGGGTGATTAGGAATCTTAGAGCCCAGAGGCCAACAATATCTGCTTTAGCTTCTTCCAAAGCAGAATGAAGTTCTTGAAGTTCCTTAAGAAAAAAAAAACAAGGGAAACAATTATGGGACAGATCAAAACTGTTTCAGGTTGCTTTCTCATCACAAAATATTTGTAACAACAACAACATCAAGCCTTTATCCCACTACGTGGGATCAGCTAAATAAATTATTTTTCTCCATTGTGCCATGTTAAGAGTCAAATTCTCATTTAAATCTAATAAAAAAAAATCATTTCTAATATTTTTTAACCAAGTATTTATAAGTCTATCATTACCTTTCTTAACAAAGGCCAAATCTAATACATCTACACTCCTCACTGGGTCATTAGAAGGTCGACGTTTTATGTGATCATACCATCTAAGGCGGCTCTCTCTAATCTTATATGCAATTGGAGCTACTCCAACGTTTTCACGTATATGCTCGTTTCAAATTCTATCTCTAAGAATAAAGCCATTCATTCACGTGAGCATCTTCATCTCTACAACACTTAATTATATGCTTCTCTTTTAATGGCCAAAATTCTGCGTCATAAAGCATTGCAAGTCTCATCACCATCTTATAGAATTTTCACTTAAGTTTGAGGGAGATTTTTCTATCACCTATGTTGCACCGATACGGATATGGGACACATCGATTATTAAAAATATATGATATCAGTATAGCGCAGACACGACATTATAATTTATATATCATTCATAAAAATTAAGAAATCAATCAAAACATAATTGATGCAGACATCCGACGATGGACGTTAATCAAAGGAAGAGACGAAGATCGACAACCGAGATCCCTCCAATTTATCTTAGTTTATTAATTATATTTTTTGATTTAATTATGCATATTTGTTAACCTCAATACAGAATACTAAAAATGGAAATCACGCATACCTTGTACCCGGAGGATCCACGAACTCCGCCGAAAGTCTCCGCAAATCTCGTTGAATCAGCGCCGAAACGATCACTTCTCCGCAAAATGTTCCATGAAACCCATATCCGGCCTCGATCGCTGCTCTCTGAGGCCTTTAAAAGCCGATTGAATGAAGCCTTCGGGAGCCCTCTTCCATTCGCAAATCCCATGACCTCCTCTGTCCGACTCCATACTCGTCTCCTTCCAAGCATACGAAACTCTCGTTGCTTCTCAGATCCCGCCTCCCCTCTCATCTCCGATCCAAGATGAGCCAAAGTCCTCGATTCTCTCCTCTATCCGACCCCGCACAGCACCCGATCGAGCTCCCGTCGTTTCTCCTCTGACCCATCTCCGAACCCCTGCTTGTGCCGATCCACAGAGAGAAGTAGAGAGAGACAGAGAGAGAGAGAGAGAGAAAGAAAGTGTCGAGCTCCTCTTACCTTTCTTCTCTGGCCGAACTCCCCATATACACTTGGGCCTATACTTAGTCGGCCTCCACCTCTGCCCTAACCCGACGCCAGCTCCGACTCCTCCGCCCCCTTCGACGCTCGCTCCTGTTGGGGCGGAAGTCACGACATTTTGGCCACAAGCAAGAATGGGAGCACGCTGTTATGAAGGTAAATTGCTCCCTTTCAAGCGCTATATCGACCAAATCCCATAATTTTGCCAAAACAGAGAGAGTAGGAAGAAGAGAGATATATATTTTTTATCATTATTAATTATAATTAGGTTTTACTAATTATAATTAATCAGGTTTTATATTTATAATTAATTGTTAATTATAACTAATTAATTATTATTAATTTATTACTAATCATAATGAACTATTAATTAGTTATAATTATTAATCATAATTAATTAATTATTATTAGTGGCGGACCGGAAAACCGTCCATGCACGCCTTTATTGCGCGTGGTGGGATGAGACCCCGATGCGGCGCCTACGACGAGGCGGGTAATCACCTAAAAATCCTACTTCAATGTTCGCGGCGAACCGGAAAACCGCCCATGCACGCCTTTATTGCGCGTGGTGGGATGGGACCCTGATGCGGCACTTACGGCGAGGCGGGGTCACTCATAAGTACCCCCGAGCAGGGGGAAAGCAAACTGTTTTTTTCAAAAAATGCTTTTTAAAACCCCTATGCACGCCTTTATTGGCATGGTGGATGAAAAATAAAAAAATCACCGTCGCGGTGTCTCACAAACACTAACCGTGCACGTCTTTATTAACGTAGGGGGTAGGCCTCTTGGCTTTTTCCCCTAAACGGGAGAGACGTCGGGAGGCTGCCGAAATTTTCATTGAAATCGAGGACTTAGACAAATTTTTGGATAGTTTGAACTTGCAAAGTATTGGACTGCAAAGGACATGGACTTGATTCATATCAAACTTGCACATGACTTGAACATTTAAACCTGAGCAAAGACTTGAGTTGGAATAATGTGAACATGAACCATAACTTGAAAAATTAACACAAATTTGCAAAATTGAATTTGAACTACTTGAATCAATTTCGGACCACATTGGACTTTTGAATATTCAAATTGAAGTGAACAAGGTAAACTTTGACATTGAACTAAAATTTGTGGATATAGAACTTGAGCTTGTTATTTGAACTCGGACTTGAACTCATGCAAAAGACTTGATTGGGACTCAAGTGAACTTGCATAATTTGAACTGAAGTAAAATTTGATTTATAACCATAGTATACACGAATTTAACTTGAATCAAGTGAGGAAGAACTTGCAAACTTTTAACAATAGAGGACTTACACTTCAGATGACAATGAAGAGGACTTATTTTGGACTTGTCTAAAGCTCAAGTCAGAACTCGACTTTGAATTAATGATCTAAATCTTAACCTAAAGTCTAAATGTTTGAAAGTGAAAATCATAAAATGATTTCACCAAGAGATAAGTGAATGAAGACTAAGTCTTCAAGAGATATATAAGCAAGGAATTATGAGGTGGAATTATCTCGAATCGTTCAAGCAAATCAATCTACATACAAACAATCATGCCTATTTGTTACAAACATAAGATCCAAATGCAGTTGAACGTATTGAGCCTTACAAACAATGGGGCTTATATACTAAATGGAACTTCAATGTTGATTAGTGATGGCATGTGTTATGATGATAAGTTGAAACAAATAGTCATTGCAAACCATGGAATAACCATAATTGATTGATTGCAACATTTATGTTAATCGTGCTAGCAAATATATCAATCTCTGTGGGCTCCGAAAATTCGGCCCCGGCCTCCCCGTCGCGCTGTATTTGCTTTTATTTTTGGCGAGGTAATTTTAACGGAATAAGTTTCGGGGTAAATTTTGGAAGGCAAATGGGTTTGTAGATAAGACACTACCCAGAGATTTCGCCCTCATTTTGTGAAGACTTTATGATCTAAGTTCTGGTTTCCTATAGGCGCAAGCCCCTATAGTTAATTACCTCTCTCAATCATGAGAGAACTTTCGATTAAGGTTAGTCGTCAATCAGATACGTAGAGAATACGTGTTATCTGGCATATAGTAGCAGCATAGGTTTTGAATTTGGAAATATTTGAAAGTTTGGAAATTTGGACAGATTTGATATTTAAAATAGAAATTTCACCACCTTGCACTTAAAGCGGATGGTGGGAGAATGGATGATAGACCCGATCAAGATCCCATGTTTCTGTCGTCCCGGGCCATCGTGGTCCCTGGTCTACTTAATCAGAGGAAGTAGTCGACCCAACCTGACAGAAGGATCCTTGTCGGCAGCCATGGGTTGCTTCATCCAAGGGGACCTTGTAGACCTGGATTGGAAATTTGCCTAAGGGGACAAATTTGAATCCACCTTAGCTAACAGAGGACTTTGTGCCCTATCGATTATATCATATTGATTCATATCTCAAGGATTTGATGTCAATAAGGGGCGCATTGGCGCTGGCCATAACCGATGTTTTGTGGTGCCATTTGTCGGCAAAACCACTCGGTTCAGAGGGCCCTGAGTCATAACCGTTTATCCTGCGGTGCCATTTGGTGGCAAAACCGCCGGTTAGAGGACACGTACCACGTCCTTACTGGCAGGAGATTATTTTGAGAATGGATCCTAGTGATATTTTTCGACTAGGCATTTGGCTCTTTGTGAGCTGAAGTAAATTTTAATTTGTCCACCCCGACAAACTGTTGCGGAGGGTGGATGGATTTTGCTTTGAGTGATTGATGGATAGATTTCAATATAAATATCTTGGAATTTGGGATTGGTTGGATTTGGGCTTTTGAATGGACTTTTGGGAGGCATTTAAGAATATTTGGAATGGACCCTTATGGTTGAGATTTGCATTCAACACGGCCATCGTCGGGGTGTTTGGGGTCATTTCAAAATACTTATGTCTTGAACCTTATCAACCCTATCGACTTGCCGGTAGGGGATCGGGTTCGTAAGCTTTGTGCCTTTATTAGTGAATTCATATTGTTATAGGACTTGACGGCCTAATATGAATGCAGCAAAACAAATATACCGGTCGCCATCATCGTATACTTGTTTGATTGTTCGAACCCCGTCGACTTCTATTGACCCGTATATAAGGATCGATTTTGAACTTGAATTCACTTATTGACCCGCGCGGCATCCCTAGGCGTCACGTGTGTACCAATAACACGCTCGTCGGGGCCCATGCGGGTGTTTGGGGGCATTTTATAATTATTTATTGAACCTTGTCAACTCCTTATCTGCTTAGGAGGATTGGGTTCAAATTTATTGACCCGCGCAGCATTCCTAGACGTCATGTGTGTACCAATAACACACTTGTCGGAGCCCATGAGAGTATTTGATTATATTTACCCCTTTTGTGTACCTATGTGTATACAAATTACGGTGCATATGCAAGGGTATTTTGAAAATATTTGTAAATGCCTTATGTCTGCTAATACGAATGTTGCGGATCCGGTGGCGTTGTATTGTAGATTGTAGATGCATTCTGTCTGCTTGCATAAGTGTTGCAGATCCGATGACGTTGTATTGTAGATTGTAGACGCCTTCTGTCTTCTTGTATAGATGTTGCAGATCCGGTAGCGTTGCATTGTAGCCTTAATATTATGAGGCATCTCCTCATCTTCATGTTGACTCCCCTTTTCTCATTCACCGG